TAGTTGGGATTTCCAACTTATGCAGGAACCACACAGAGTAAAGACATAGGAAGTAGTGGACTTTCTATTATCCCTATCATTTGCATAATTGGAGTCAATATAGCCAGTAAGCAAAATACCAGTTTCAGTTTTAGAAAACACAAGACCATGAGAAGAAGTACCCCTAAGGTATCTAAGAAGCCATTTAAGGGCAGTCCAGTGAGACATACCAGGGTTTGCCATGTATCTACTTAAGCAACTAACAGCATAAGCTATGTCAGGTCTTGTGCTTACCATGAGATACATGACTAACCCTATAGCACTGGAATAGGGTACAGTCTTCATCCTATCTATCTCAGGAGCAGTCCTTGGGGACTGGTCCTTGCTTAGCACAAAATGGGTTGCTAAAGGAACATTTACAGGTTGGGCAGAGTCAAGGTTGAATTTTTTCAAGACCTTGTCTAGGTAGGAGGTTTGGTTCAGGGTAAAGGTACATCTACTCCTATCCCTGATTATATTAATCCCTAGGATTCTCTTAGCATCTCCTAGGTCCTTCATAGCAAAATTTTCACAGAGACACTTTTGAACAGTCTTAATAGCATTCACAGAGGGGCTAATGATAAGCATGTCATCAACATAGATCAACAAGAAAACAGATACAGAAGCAGTATTTTTAAAATACAAGCAAGGGTCAGAATCAGACCTTTTGAAACTCAGGGAGGACATACACTGGTCAAACTTTATATTCCACTGTCTGGGAGACTGTTTCAGGCCATAGATGGCTTTCCTAAGAAGACAGACATGTCTAGGGTACTTAGGGTCTACAAAACCCTCAGGTTGGGTCATGAAAATCTGTTTATGTAGTTCACCATGCAGGAAAGCAGTTGTAACATCCATCTGCTTCATTTCCCAGTCATTATGGGCAACTAGGGCAAGCATCATCCTAATTGTGGTGAATTTTACTACAGGAGCAAAAATTTCAGCATAGTCTACCCCTTCCTTTTGAGTGAAACCTTTAGCCACTAACCTAGCCTTAAACCTAATGTTATTAGGTTCTTCTTTAACTTTGAAAAGCCATTTGCACTCAACAACAGAACAATTAGGAGTCCTAGGAACTAGGGTCCAAGTCTTATTCAACTTCAGGGAATCAATTTCACTTTTCATAGCACTTAGCCAGTTTTCAGATTCTCTAGAGGCAAGGGCTTCCTGGTAGGTTTTAGGCTCATTCAACTCAAGAGTTTCAAAGACAGAGAATGCAAACAAGGAAGTGTCATACAGATGAAAAGCATAGTCAGTCATGCTATCAGAAATTTTCTTTATGTGTCTTCTAGTTCTATCTCTAGCTAACTGATAGTCTTCAAGACCCTGACTATCAGCAGCAGTTTCAAAATGGTCATTATCATCAGTGGAGTTATTACGAGTAAACACATCATGCATAGTTTCATTATCAACATTAGATCCACTGGGCTGCTCCACCTCACTGAAGGTGGTGTGGGTGTCATGCATAGTGTTGGTCAGGTCAGGAGTAACAAAATCATTTAACAGAGGGGCAGCAGTGGTTTGGATAGGCTCCACCTCACTGGGAGAGGTGACATCAGATTCAGTTTGAGGGTCAGTAACAGTTTTAACTAAGCAGGGAAAATCACTTTCATTAAACACAACATTTCTGCTTATAATGACCTTAAAACCACTCTGATTTCTATCCCAGATCCTATACCCTTTTACCCCTTCAGGATAACCTAAGAAAATGCACTTTTTAGACCTAGGGTCCAGCTTATCAGTCTGTTGGTGTGCATAGGCTGCACACCCAAACACCTTTAGGTTTGACAGGTCAAGAGGTTTCTCAGAGAAGACAGACTCAGGGCATTTACCTTCTAAAGGTACAGAAGGGGATCTGTTTATCAGGTAAGCAGCAGTGGTCACAGCCTCTCCCCAAAACTTCTTAGGAAGACCAGAAGTGGCTAACATACTCCTAACTTTGTCTAGAAGGGTCCTATTCATTCTCTCAGCCAAACCATTTTGTTGGGGAGTATAGGGCACAATTTTGTGTCTCCTAATCCCACTTTCAGTACACAGCCTATCCCTGTCCCTATTGCAGAATTCTAATCCATTGTCAGTTCTAAGGGTTTTAACCTTACATTCAGTTTGGTTTTCTACCATAACTTTCCAGTCTTTAAACCTAACATAAACATCAGACTTATGTTCTAACAAACAGACCCAGACTTTCCTAGAAAAGTCATCAATTATGGACAGGAAGTACCTCCTACCCCCATGGGTAGGGACACTGGAAGGACCCCACACATCTGCATGTATGTAGTCAAGGACAGCTTTAGACTTAGGCTCACTAGGATAGCTAGAAACAGGAAACTGAACCCTATGTTGTTTACCTAAGACACACCCTTCACAGAATGGTATAGGTGACACCAAGTCATTACCAAAACACCCAGTTTTTTGTAAGATGTTCAAACCTTTATTACTCATATGACCAAGTCTTTGGTGCCAAAGCACAGACTTATCAGTGAGTACAACATTAGCATTTTCAGAAAATGGTTTAGCATAAACAACATACAGGTTATTTTGTTTCAAAGCCTTGAATAAAACAAGAGAGTTTTTCAAGATTTTCATACACCCACTTCCCCATTTACCCTCAAGACCACATTCTTCAAAAGCAGAAACAGAAAGCAGATTGTGCCTAAGATCAGGGACATGTCTAACATTTTTTAATTTGAAAACAGTTCCATTTTCAAATCTGAGACTTATGTCACCCATACCATGAACCTTACACTTCTTACTATCAGCTAGGGACACATAACCCGAATCACAAGTACTATAAGAAGCAAACAGATCTTTAAAAGGTGTCATGTGGTAGGTACAACCTGAATCTATTAACCATTCACTCTCAGTCAGACTACTGAGCACAGAATTGGCTTGATCACAGACCATAAATACCTCATCTTCTACAACCTTATTGGTCACAACATTAGCCTGGTCATTCTTCTTAGGTAGGGTGCAATCTTTAATGTAATGACCTGGGTTGCCACAGTTATAACAGACTCTTTTCCTAGACTTGAACCTCTTCTTACCAGGTTGTCTACTATTTTTATCCTGATTGTCCTTTTTAGGGTGTCTAGACCTGCTTTTAGATCTTCCCCTAACAAACAAAGCTTCCCCAGATTCCCTGTGATGACTCCTAGAATGTTTTAAGTCCAGTTCTTTACTTCTCAGGCCATTAATAACAACATCTAGGGTTATGTCATCCCTCCCATACTTAATGGCTGACTTAACATCATTATAGGAATCAGGTATAGCATTGAGTAAAACTATAGCAGTGTAGTCATCTATATGTTTATCCCCAGCCTGCTTAATGTTTTGTATTAGTTAATTAAAGACATCTAGGTTTTCATCAATATCCTTTGTTAGGTCAAGTCTGAACCTAAAAAACTTTTCCAACAAAAACAGTTTGCCAGGAAGGGAAGTATCAGTATATAGAGACTCAAGTTTGTCCCATAGGGCTTTAGCAGACTCAATGACTCCAACCTTCCTAAGGACAGAGTCAGACAGGTTTAAGTATATAGTCGAGCATGCTGTTTCATTCATTTCAACTTGTTTAGGTTTATCCTCTGTTTCTAAGTATTGTCCAGTAACAGCTCTATACACTTTCTGTTGAATCAACACACATTTTAATTTTTGTTTCCATATATCAAAGTCAGTTCTACCATTAAAAGGCATCATACCATATAGGTTTGAAGCCATGATAGCAGTCAATACACTAAGCTGCTGAGATACAGATAATATAAAGGCTAACCCTAGTGGTTTGGGCCGCGGACTAAGTGACCACGCAGTTCCAGGGGCCACTGAGGTGGCTGGCAGGGAATCATTTAGCCCTAACCTCAGGTGCCCTAGCCAACTAGGGGTTAGAAGCCACACTATTACCAGAACTCAACAACAAGAACAGGAATTGACAAGACTGATTTGAGCAAAGAAGTTTTAAAATACAATGGTAACAGGGCAAGCTACAACAATACAGAGGGAGTGCAGAGGCAATAACACAGAGGAGGTAGCAAATTAAAGACCACAACACACAGAAAGTCAATTTAGTAAGCCAATCAGAGTTCTCAGACAATTAGTGGCCAAGTTCGACACAGATTGGACCACTTATGCACATCCGAATTACACCTAGGGTTTCTACAGATCTGTGTTAACAGATACTGTACATGCAATGGTTGTTTTAGGGTTTCTACTCGGCAGATTTATAACCTAGGGTTACAAGTCCACCCAGGCAACACAGAGGCCGGTGGCACTCCGGCAGCCCATAGGTTAGGGTTTCAGACTTATACCTGAGCGGGTGTCACTGAAAGACAACCCGACTTACCGATCTCCGATGAAGCTCCAGGCGTTACCAGGTGTGGGAGTTCTCCGGCGAGCTTCCGGCGTCAGTGAGAGGCAGCATCGTCCAAGCTCTGATACCACTGTTGGGAATCCGGACCGGCTCAGACCTCAATCACCAATAGCCCAAGGGCTAGCTCACATTCACCACCAAGGTTGCAATAGGGAAACTGAAGGGCAACAATCAACTACCCTCACTCACAGTACCCAAGCCCCAACCCAGAAGCCCCACCGGTGGAGAGACTCACCACACAACCAGACCCAGAGTGAATAGGGCTGGGGAAAAATACCGAAACGGCCGAAATACCGCTCTTACCGTACCGAAAAATACCAATTTTACCGAATTTTTTCCTTACCGAAAATTTTGGTAAGGTATGTTACCGTACCGAAATAGTTCGGTACGGTATCGGTATATACCGTATTAATTTTCGGTATACCGAAAAATACCGTAATACCGTATCTATATATATTTATTTATTATTTACATATACTTATTAATTATGCCTCTTCAGTAAAAAAATAGCCCACTGCCCCAATACACCCGTCTAATAAGAGTATTAGCCCAGTTCGGCCCAAAATCCACTTCTCCAAAGTCCTAATCCAAAGTCCAAAGTCCAAACTAGTTGTGTTGGCCTGTGGAACTGCGATTTGCGAAGGCCGGCACTGGAAGAGTCAAAGAAGAGATAGGGTTTCACAGTTTCAGAGAGGTGTTCAGTCTCGGCTCTCCATTACCTAATCGCTATTCCTGGCTCATGGAGGCGAATATTCTTGAAGGGTTGAGCGAACAATGAGTTCTAATATGCGACGAATAGGAGAGGCAGCCGGCTGGTACGAATAGGGTTGAGCTAACAAAAATTAGGCCTGCTCAGTTCCATCTGTTTGTTCTTCTACAAAACCACCCCTTTGATACGAAAAGGTATTTATCAATTATCTCCTCTGAGTTCTAATATGGAAACATGATGTTCTCTTGCTTCTTGAATATTTGAGTGATTAGGGAGTCAGTTCTTCGTAGTAGTTCTCTAGCATTTCTAGGCTACACCTGCAACTTTTAATATTATTTATGTAATATTTGGTCTAAGTTAGAATCTGTGATGATTTATAGAGCAACTCATTTGTAAATTGTAATGAATGAGCTGCATATATTGATTTCTAATAGGTTGCTACCTTGTTTTTCTATATACAACTTATTTATCTACACCTTGTATCACCTCATATTTTTCTCTATGTTTCTAGTTTTTTTCCACTTTCTTAATTGTTTGCAGTTTGCTTTCTGATAGCTTCTTTAGCTCCTTTATTGGATGCATTACTCGTTTGCTTGCCAAACTGCAAAAAGTTCCATATTTTATTTTCCATGGACTTTTCCTTGGCTATATAGTGACTTGCATAATACTACCTATTCTGCTTATTTACTAGAAAATTATTATACTTTAGGAAAAAGCCTATTGAATCAAATTTATGAATTTCAGGTGGCATAAGAATTATTTTTAGAACTTACAGTCAAATGCACTTATTAGTATTGATTTAAAAACCCAACAGTGTATGATTGTAGATTGGGTATTGGAAATTAGCTTAAGTAATGTTGTTGTCTTGTTACTCTTTTATTCTACAGGCCGGCGGTAACATAAAGTATCAAGAAAGCATCAAGTTTCACCTCCACAGGCTTAACTGGGTGAGGAAATAAGGTTTTGTTATGGTTTATTTCATTCACCTCGGCAGTTTCTGGCTTTCTGGCTTTTTGTTGATATTTCTGCCACTCTTGTCTTGAGTTCCGTTCATGCTAATGAACTTAAATGGCATAAAATAATATGATCTGGTTTACTTGTTACTACATGTAAAGAAATTGCTAGGAAAGATAGCATTTTTATGCTTTAATCTTCGAGGGTGGAAATTTTGGTACTACCATCAGTACCCCCACTAACTATAATGAATGTGTGAAGTTTCATTGGTTAAATATGAACTTGAACTTGTGGCGTGGAATTTGAAGCAGAGTTCTGTTGATGATTATCTTTTACCTGTTTTTGCATCTTCAAAAGGTGAAGAGGGCCAAGTTGTGTTCACTTCGAATCTTAATCATCACTTTTTGCATTGAGTTGAAAATGATCTAGATTGCAAAGATTAAATCTTACTTGTTTTCCAATATGCATGTTTGGCTGGGTTAAAATATCATATATGATTGATATGGTATATTTGGCTACCTGTTGGGTTAGAGATGATGTCTATGTGTTTGTAACTTGATTCCCTTCCGTAACCTATGTTGTTTCTGCTATGCTAGTTATTTCTTTTGATTCACAAATATAGAATAGCAAACAGAAGTAAAGCAGGGAATGAGAATTGGTCATCCTTTGGAATAACATGTGATCTCTATTAATCTAATCATCTGTCTCATTCGCTAAAAGAGTAGATCTGTGAGTCAATAAGTTTTATCTATATAACTATGTTTTTCATTTTGCATCTTTGAATTTTATTTCATCTAGCATCTATTATTATTATTTTGCATCTTTTAATGTTATTTCTGTAAATTGTAATGAATGAAGTGCATATATTGATTTGTGATAGCTTTTTTAATGGATGCAGCACATAACTTACTCTGCCAGAAGGGATAACCTGGTAAGTGATTTATCTAAACTCCAACTCCCAGTATGAATGCAGGTCATATTAATTTTATATATCTACATATATATATATATATATATATATATATATATATATATATATATATATATATATATGGTTGTTTAGCATCACAAACTAATGATTGTTTTGATTTCAGAAGTAAGAATGGAATCCCAATCATCTCATTCTCTTCCAACTCCATCCGAATCACCAGAAATGATCGACTCTGAAACGCGAGAAGCTGCTACTAGCCGCAAACGAGCAAGGAACAAGTCAGCAGCACTTAAGCCTCCTGTTTCTGAACCTCGAAGCATCTTTTGGAATCATTGTGTAAAAGGGTCAAGGACCTTGCTGGATGGCACCATCCAACCAATTGGAACTTGCAAGTATTGTCAAACACAGATCCCAGCGAGTCATGGAAGCACTAGCGGCTTGAAAAACCACTTAGAGAAGAGGTGCAAATTAAGTCCCCTATACAAAGCAAGTGAAAATGACAAGAATCAGCCTGTATTGACAAATGTGACAATGGGGCAGGTTAGTGAATTAGTTTCTCATACTTTCAATCAAAAAAGGTGTGAGTTAAAGCTTACTGAATATGTTATTATCGATGAGATGTCATTCCGAGCTGTTGAAGGGAAGGGCTTTGTAAGTCTTGTGCATGAATTGCAACCAAGATTCAGAATCCCAGATCGTAAGAAGGTGGCAGGTATGGTTTACGACTTATTTTTAGTTGAGAAAGCTAAAATAAGAAGTGTGATTAGTGGGCAAAGGGTAAGTATCACAACTGATACATGGACTTCCATCCAAAACATAAATTACATGGTGGTCACTGCCCACTTTTTGGACAATGATTGGAAACTGCACAAAAGAATAATTAACTTCACGAAAATCACAAGTCATGTTGGGGAAGATATTGGTAAGGTGGTTGAGGTTTGTCTAAGAGAGTGGGGGATAGAAAAAGTATTTTCGATAGTAGTTGACAATGCTTCTTCTAATGATACAGCAATTGACTACTTGAAAAAGAGAATGAAAATTGAAAATACATTGTTGTTTGAAGGAACCTACTTGCATTTGAGGTGTGGATGTCATATACTCAATTTGATTGTTAAGGATGGTCTCAAAGAACTCAATGATTCAATTGAATCTATAAAGAATGCAGTTCTTTTCATTCATTCTTCACCATCTAGGTTGCATAAATTTAGAGAGTTTGCCGTATTAGCAAAATTTCCTAATACATCAACTGTGCCTATGGATATCAAAACAAGGTGGAATGCAACCTATAAAATGCTTGAAGTTGCATTGAAGTTTAGGAGGGTGTTTGAAAGAATGGCTGAAGAGTGGTTACCATTTATGAAGTATTTCCGTGAAAAGAATGAAAAGGGTAAAGTACGGGTAGGGCCTCCAAGTCATGAAAATTGGGAGAATGCTAAAGCTTTTGTGCACTTCTTAAAAAAGTTTTATGATGTCACTTTAGAGTTAAGTGCATCAAAAACCCCCACCTCTCAATTGCTTTATCAGTCCATGATTGCACTACAAATTGAGATTGAAAAAAAGAAAAATGACAATTCTGACCCAATTCTCAAGAAGGTGGCTGGTGCAATGTTGTTGAAGTTTAAAAAGTATTGGGGTGATTGGAATACTATGAATCCTTTAATTTTTATTAGCAATATTTTGGACCCAAGAAACAAGCTTCAGATGATTAAAGTAAGTATAAAAAAACTTCCAGATACTACTATAAAGGTCCAAGATTTTGTTGATAAAGTTAAAGGCGACTTAGTAACTCTGTGGACAGAATACAAAGGCATAAATGAGACCACTAATGTTGAGCGGCAAAGTGTGCAATTGGAGCTGGATGATGGAGATGGTACTAATAGTGCGGGTGATGGTCTTTGGGATGAATTATTTACTGATGTTGAAGCACAAAATGAAGAAGAACAACTCCAAGAGATTTCTAATGAGGTAGATAAGTACCTTGCTGATGAGATTGAGAAAAGATCTAATCAATCTTTTAATCTTTTGGAGTGGTGGAAAGGAAGTGAAACTAGGTACCCAATTCTTTCATTGATTGCAAAAGATATTTTTGCAATACCAAGTTCAACGGTTGCAAGTGAATCTGCTTTCAGTTTAGGCAAAAGGGTTGTCGATCCATTTAGAAGCAGTTTAAGTCCTAAAATGGTTGAAGCTTTGGTTTGTACGAATGATTGGTTAAGAGCAGAGGATTTCAGCTTTTATAAGGATCCAACTGATGATGACCTTGCCTTGTATAAAGAGATTGAAGAAATTGAAAAGAGTAAACCTTTTTTATTGCATTAAGTTTAGATTTACATGATAAATTTTGAATAATAATTATTGCATCTTTATGTTCCTTCTACAGATGCAAATGCGACTCAGGAACATTCTCAGACCTCTTCTCAGGCATAGGCATGTTCCAGTTTTCAGCTGGCAGTATGATTACCAATGGGTAAAATCATTTGTGCATCCAGTAAATTACTAAATCATTATCTTTTGTTGTATATGTATGTTCTTCCATCTGTGATATCGATTTTAAATGGCTTCAGTTTTTTGCATATTAGATTTGTATTGCTTCATTTCCTACCAGTTTATCAATTGGTTTCAGATTATATATTTTTTTTACTAAATGGAAAAATATGATTGGAGCTGCAGAATAATATGGCGGGTAAGGACTTGTGTGTTTAATATGTAGATTATTCTGTTTCAGTTTTTTTTTTGCATATTATCGGTTTGCCTGAGTTTAAACGGGATGTTAAAAAATGCACTGGAGCTGCAGAATAATATGCCTAGCAAGGGCTTGTGAGTTGATTATGTTTTCTTTGCATCATTGTTTCCTGAGCTTTGTACACTTTACACTTTACATTTATCCCAGTTTACCCATTTGCTTGCGAAAAAAAAGTTCCATATTTTGTTTTCCATTTATATGGCCTTTCCAGTGGCTACATAATGACTTGCATAACACTACCAGTTCTGTTTAACACTACCAATTTGAGGACCTTATAAAATTCATCTATATCTTGCTTTCCTTGGTGAAATGATAAACCAAATACTAGAATCACTTTTCAGCCCGTCAAAAGAATGTAATTGATTTTCTTCAAATCACATGTGTAATTCCACCAATCTCAACTAGTTTGGACTTTGTACTATGGAACTTCAGATGATGTTAAGGATGATTCATGCAAAAAAGCATAATGAAATTTTGGGTTGCATGCTCTTCCTGTCACAATCTTAATGTCTGATTTTGTTTTGTTTATTCTCCATGAATTGTTTTTCCACCCTTTTTTCTTCCTCTTTTCAGAGCTCAAGGAATTCAAACGATAGCCCACAAGTGCAGTGATCATGTGGATTTCACATTTCAGGCTCCATCTTTATTGCTTTAATGAATTCTATGCTAAATATGTATTTGAAGTTCAAATTGTAAACTGATATTTTGTTGGAATTACTCTGCTTTGACATTTTAAAGGGATGCCTTGAAGCCTTTATTCTTGAATAGCCATTGACTACTCTTAACTGATTCTGTGTGGCATCAATATCTATAAGTGATGTTTTTTTAAGTGGACAGTTTTAATCCAAATGCTCAAGATTTAGATCGAGACACAATACATCTATTTTCAGATTGCCTTAAACATCCCTGAAGTTAGGTTTTTGGATCCCTAACATGGAAGTCTATGATAGTTGCAGGTTTTTGGCAATAATTTTTTAAGTTTCGGTATACCGCTTGTTTTTCGGTATACCGAATATACCGAATATTTGGTACGGCATCAATATGCCATTTGGTGTTACCGAAATTTCGGTATACCGAAACATCGGTATACCGAAGTTTCGGTACGGCAACGGTATGCCATTTTCATATACCGGTATTTCGGTACGGTATACGGTATGGCAGAAAATTTCCGGTATGCCATACCGAACCAGCCCTAAGAGTGAAGACCCCCAAAGGAAACCCCAAAGCGTCACCGGAGTATAGCCGGAGCTAAGGCTCAGGTGAGGCTGGTACTCTCTCACTCTAGATCTAGGATAACCGACTGAGAAGCTCATCGGATAGAGAGAAGGAGGAGCGAAAGAAATAGGAGGTTCGCGAAAGAACAAGACAAGTATATCAAGGGCCACAAAGAGTCACGGGCTGGGTAGTGGACAAAAGGGGCGTATGGGCTTGGTCTGGCAGACAGCCCAATTGGGCCAGAGTTATTTAATAGGAGACCAAACTATTAAATGAGGTGGACCAAAGACAGCATGGGTAAGGGTTAGGCCAAGTTGAGGTGGACCAATACCATCAACACATTTATATACGAAGTACGAAGTATATTATACTCTTTATTTTAATTAATGAAAAGGATACTCTTTATTTAGCACTTCTTGAGTTCTTGTTATAGTTATTACTAATAGGTTTACATTTAAACATAGTCTTTAATTATGAGTTGCTTGCTACACCCATGATATCAACGACTGAGGTAGTTGCATAGTCCTCAAAGAATTAGAAGGAAAAATATATGACTGCATTATGGGCTCAATTGCTCATATATGTTTATACTCCGTATAATATATCGTTGGATAAATACTTGTTTCTATATTCGAATTATAATTGAGGAGCCAATTATGCAAATCGATGGTCATGAAGATTTCATATATGATACCGTAGTATATGATTACATCATGCAATTCCTTAATTAAAATTTCCCCATATATCTCCTTTCCATCATCGAATTCTAATGTTATCTTCATTCTACGGGTCACTATTTTAATGACCTCAATAGTAATGCCATTTTGGCTAGTAGGAGTGATCCAGTGATCAACTTCACACACTTACACTCTCACCTCGTGGGAGAATTTTAGTGGGAGATTTTGAGTCCAAGTCACGAAGATGTGAATTTGAGAGGTATTTCTGTTGAAAAAATGATTTAACTTTAATATAATGGCCATTTTTTTTTAGCTGAAATAATCGAGAGACTCACAACTCGTTTGTCGAAGAACCAAGACATAACTTATAGAAATCATATATTAAAGTGTGTAAAGTCATTTACAAATTTATTAATGAAAAATTGTTCCTGAAACTAACCTAAAAAACAGTTTTGGAAATAAATTTGTCTCATACCGAAAAAGGAGAGTTAAGAAAATGCTTTTATATAAGATTTTCTTAGATATTAGGTTGGGTCATTGGCTTACCAAAAGTTTTTTTGTGCTATAAGACCTATATACATGCAGTTGACGTGGAATTAAGGTTCGGGTCTTTGACCGGTCAACTGCTTGAAAGAAATGTTATGACCTTTCTTTTAAGAATTGTCCTTTGGGTTTGGCCAGAGCTGCGCAGTACAATTCATGTTCTACTCTTCTTTCTTGTGCATCTTTTGAGTTCACCGAAGTCCCATTGAAAACGAGGAACCACTTTATCCTAGGAGGTGTTTGATACATGTGTCGGCGTGTCACACAAAAACTTCAAGGAGACAACGTTTACATCGTGCTTGTATACAAGTAATTTTACGTTTTTCCGATCCTTAACTACTAATTAGTTGTTATTTCATTTGCATGCACAATTTTAAATTGAATACACACATATAACAATTTCTAAAATGATAATTTTCCCGTCTTTTGTATTAGCTTGGGTTACCTTGAAATTGGCTAAATCGATAGAATTAAATTGGTGAAATTCTAGCTAAATTGACTAATTGAAACTGTTGAATTATGGAAATAAAAAATATATCTAAAATATATTTTACTGAAAAAATAATGAAAATATTACATGAATAAACTTAAAAATAATTTGTTCAACAATTTCACCTAATTTAATTTGAAAAGTAAGCAGGTGTTTGGAATTGATTCTGTTTCTGCTTCTTTTTAAAAGTACAAACAAAATCAGAATCAGTTTTTCAGAAGCTGATCTCCCTCAGCTTCTAAAACACTGCTTCTAGGAGCAATTTGGAGAAGTCAGAAACACTTATGCAATTTTACACAAACACATCAATATCTTTTTTTCTAAAAAACTGCAGTTTCACCCAAACGCATCAATATCTGATTTTACTCTTTGAAGAAGCAGAAACAATTTTAGAAACTAGATCTAAACACCATAACTCCAATCATATCTATTTTGATTACTAGACGACAAATCAAAAGTTTTTTTAAAGTAACAATTCAAAAGTTATGAAATCAAAGTTATGAAATCAAAACTGGTTTAATAATTATTGATTTAAGCAGTGTTTGCCATTGCTTAAAAAAGCACTTATCTGATTTTGGCTTTTAAAAAGATAAAAAGGTGTTTGAAAATGAAAACTTTTACACTTTTAAGTCAAAAACTGGAAGTTGCCTTAGGGGTGCTTTTATCTGCTTTTAGGTTATTTGGTAAATATCTCAAACATTGGGGATAAATTTTATCCCTAAACATACGGCTCAAATACTAAACTACCCTCCTCACACATCAATCTCCCAATCTAGCTTTCTTCTCCGAGCTCTCCGTCTCCACCATCGGGTTTTGGTTTTAGAGGTGAACCAACACAGACGTTTTGCTATACATAGCCAAGATTCAGATAATTGCTAAAGGGTTGGGTATCTAAGCATTCCTCTGCTCATTGTTATGATAGGTTGAGAGAATCACACAATCATAACAAGAATTAGCTGAAGAAAGAATTTAAGCGAGAGGAAGAAGAAGAGGTTCGAGAGAAAGAGATTTCTTATTCATCAGAACTGCCAAACGATTTACAATAGTTTGTTTATATCCGTTCGGTTACTAACAAACCAACTATTTACAGCCATTGATAGGATGATGAGGTGGCATCATCCTATTGATTACAAGTCATAAAAATAATTGTCAAAACAGCTTAGTTGTAATCCAGTGCAACATAGAAGACTTTATCCTAACATTTTCCCCTCCTTCCATTGAAGCTTGTCCCCAAGCTTTAATCTCCGGAAACTGCTTAGTTATTTTATCATAGTCTTCCCAAGTAGCTTCATCCTCTTGTAAGTGTCCCCATTTGATGAGTAATTGAACAGCAGCAGCATTATTCCTCTTAACAATCCTCCTGGCAAGAATTTCAGTTGGTCTCAGCATAGTATCACCATCTTCATTCATAAAAGGAATACTATTGATAACTCTATCAGCAACTCCCACTTGTCTCTTCAGTACTGAAACATGAAAGACAGGATGTATCTTACTTCCTTCAGGTAATTGCAGTTTGTAGGCTACAGCTCCCACTCTTTCTACAATAGGAAAAGGTCCACTATATTTGGGGCTCAACTTCCATATGTTGGATTTCCTCATACTCAGTTGTCTGTAAGGTTTAAGCTTCAAGTAAACCCAATCCCCAACTGCATACTCTCTTTCACTCCTGTTTTTGTCAGCTATTTGTTTCATCCTGTGCTTAGATTGTTGAAGTTGGTGCCTCAATTGCTCTGAAATCAACTGCCTTTGCTCAAGTTCTTGTTCAACTCCAACCACTGATAATTCTTTTCCGAGTCTGAATTCCATCATTGGTGGTTTATATCCAAAGAGAGCCTCAAAAGGACTCATTCCAATAGCTGTGTGATGACAACTATTGTACCACCACTGAGCTAATGAAAGCCATTTGCTCCAATCTTTAGGTGTCTTCCCAGTCATACACCTTAAGTAATTTTCTAGGCATTGATTAACTCTCTCGGTTTGACCATCTGTCTGTGGATGGTAGGCAGTGCTCAAATGGTGTTGCACTCCTAAAGATTTGAGGAGTTCTTTCCAAAAGAGGCTGGTGAAGATTTTATCTCTGTCAGATATAATAGATTCAGGCAATCCATGAAATTTGCAGATATGATTAATGAAGGTATTAGCTATCATAGATGCAGAGAAAGGGTGACTCAGAGCTATAAAGTGGCCAAACTTAGTATATCTGTCAACTATTACTAATATAGTATCATAACCATTAGACTTAGGTAGTTTTTCAATGAAGTCCATGGTTATATGCTGCCATGCCTGTTGTGGAGTAGGGAGTGGTTGCAGCAATCCTGGAGACTTAATATTCTCATGTTTGCATAATTGACAAATGGAGCATGCACTCACAACTTCCTGCACTGTTAACTTCACATTTGGCCACCAAAATACACTTTCTACTCTTTTCAGTGTGCCCAGTACTCCTGAATGCCCCCCTGAACTGCTCTCATGTATCATAACCACTATCTTCCTTCTTAAATCTCCATATGTTCCCACATACAACTTTCCTTTATATCTCAGTAATCCATTCTGATATGAAAAGTAACTAAGGTTATAAGGAATAGATATTAGTTGTAAAATGGCTTCTTCAGCTTCCTTATCTTCCTGGTAACTTACACTTAATTCTTCTTGCCACATTGGTCTGATGACTGATATGGTAGTACAATTTCCCACCATATTTTCTTCTTCCTGGTCCCTTCTTGATAAAGCATCTGCTACTTTATTCTCAAAACCTTTCTTATATTCAATTGTATAATCATACCCCAGCAATTTGGTAAGATATTTATGTTGAGTAGGAGTGGATATTCTTTGGTTGACCAAATATTTGAGGCTGATCTGATCTGTCCTTATGGTGAATGGAGCATGTA